AAAAAAGGGGGGGGGTGGGGGGGGGGGGGGGGGGGAGGGAGAGAGAGAGGATTAGGGAAACTTTTGATATAGACAAAAGCGGAAAGTTTTGAGAGAGATTAAATGGGAATGCTCAAGTGATTTTCACAAAATTCCATATAATTTTCCTATAATCTAGCCATCTTGTCTGCACCCATCTGCCACTAATACTATAGGTTATGTATGCACTAGCTTTTAAGTATTTTGGTAACGTTTAGTAATTTTTTTGAAAAAAATATTATTATTTTTTGCATTTGAAGGATTTTTTAAGCAAGTTTTGTTGTCGTATTTTTTGGTTTTTTTTTCTTGCTAGAACTTACTTACCTTTTCTAATCATAATCACGTATATAATAATCTATAGTATACATATAAAAAATTATAATTAATGTACAAAAATGTATCTAGGTTATTTTTGTAAAATAGTCTTAAATATGCTTTTACTTTTTTGACAAAAAAAATGAAAAAATGGATACCCTAAATTGAAGGCCCACATCAACCAAGCTTACCTTCCTATTGGCCTACTAGAATCACAGGCTAGCCCAGACCAATTTGTATCAACCAAACAGGTTCTAAATGGATCACATGGCCCAGCCCAAAATGGATAAATCTCAAATGAAACCCAAAATGGTAATAATATTATTCTGGTGTGGGCAGGTACATAGGGCTCACCGACTTTGTACAAAGCGTTCGTTGACAGATGAAATGGAAAGTTGTAAATAGGACCGAATAGAAAGAAATCATAATACGAATCAAACCTCCACACGTCTGTATATCCCATCTCCATTTCTCTCTCTTCACCTCTCGATTTCTCCTATTATTTCACGATTATATCTTCGATTAAGGTATGATAACGCTCTGATTTGTAATTTTTTTCATTGATTCGATTTGGGGATTTTGGTGAATATTATTAATCTGTTGTAATTGATTTGTTATGAATAATCAGGTTCAGTTTTGCCGAGTCAAGATCGGCCAAAGCTCTTATTTTGATTAACGGGTGAGGGGTTCCCTGATCTTTTTGCCTTTCTCACGATTAGGGTTTTGCTAATCATTTCTATTTATCTCATATTTAAGATTTAATTTTAAGATGTTTGCATATAAGTTGTTAGCCTTTTGTGTTCAAAAAATTTGAGTGGTAGGGTTTAATTTTATATATTATTCTATTTTCATATATGTTGTTAGTTAGCCTTCTGTGCTAAAAGTTTCCAGAACCCAAGTGTCACCTAATAGTTGTCACATCTTGTGAAAGTTACTGTTTTGTGAGCACTCTCATCCTAGATGCAAGCCTAGAACTGCAAAATTTTATTCCATTATGTGTCGTTGCCAACAATAGAAAATTTTTCTTCTTTTCTGGTACCTTACTAAATTACACCATATTGGACACCTAAATGTCATTTGGGCAATTGTTTTTGTTTGACTTGTTTTGGAAGCTACTGTTATAGGTTGTGCATCTTGTGAGCTATGCTTGTGTATAAATAGATTGTTTAAAGCTATGAATCTCTTACTTTTCCTTGTCATTGTTACTCTCTCTAGTGTTTTCATTCTTATTTTAGTTGTACAATTTTTCTTGCTGAAACTGTCTATGACTAAATCTTCCTTCCAAAAATAGGATGAGACATATGGTGGTCAGTGTTGGTTAATTTTTCAAAGATATAATCTTCTGAACCATTCTTTCTATAATAATATGGGCTTCTTCCATTATTTGATATTTTTCCCTTTTAAGAGTTTTTGGTTAGAATTCATAGAAAAGAAATCATTTTAAATGGTTAAAAAAGAAAAAGACAGAGCTAGATGGTTCCTTGCCATCAACTGAGTCTGAGAACATAGTCTTATTTGCTCTTGCCATTTATATTTTTGGTGAGCTATTGAAGGTAATTCTTCTTCTCTCTGACAATTTCAAGAAACTTTAGTGAACCAATGATCTAATGGTTGAAAGTTGGAGTCAAAAGACTGCTCATAAAAAAGGATGGTGACATTGCAAACTCTGTCCAGCATTTCTATAAGGCACCAATATGTAATTGCTAGGTAGAGTGTAACAGCTATCTCAGTACAATACTACCTCTTCCTGCTGATTAGGGAATTGTTTTCTTCTACATTATTATATGATATTGTTCTATATTACATTTTCATATGAAACTGTTCTCTCCTAGTATATGACATTATTTATTAAGTAATAGATTAGGCTTAATCAGTTTGTAACACTAGTCTCATAATTAGATGATGTTGCATCCAGGGCAGCTGTTATTTGAAGTTGGAAATGGGTTGCACACTGGGGGCTATCCAATCTCACTTTTGTTTCCTTATCAACCTCATGGACCAAATGAAGGCAAAGATAGATCTAGGTCTTTGTAAAAAATTTTAATTGGTTGATTAGATGGCACCGTTTTAATGGCTCACTGAGATTTAGTGAAAGTTGCCATCAGTGTATTAAGCGTCATCGTTTAGATCTTTGTTTGAGGCCTAATGTGTAATTGTTCACTCAGTTATATGTTTATAATCACTTTATCACTATGATGGTGACAATTCAAGAAGAGGAATTGATGACGCATGTTGGTGAGTTGCAGCTCCTAATACGTCATTCATGAACTGGGTTGTTGTCTTGCACAAAAATGATGCAGGAAGAAGAAGAACTTAGAACATCGAAAGAGGAGAAGTAAAAAGAAGAGATGGGGGGCATTTATCTCGTCCTCACAAGGAATTGGTCAAGAAACACAAATTCTCCATAGAAAATAATTTTATTAATATCAAACACTAATTACATCAATATTTATTGGCTAAGTCTCCTATTCAAGGATCAAAATTTTGTTTCGGAATGTTCGAAACATTTCCGTTTTCAAGGAAACTGAAACGAATCAGTGATAAAATCAAAATTCTAATACTTCGAAGTGTTTCATATTATTTCAAAGTGTTTTGTAATGTTTTAATGCATTTACATAATTGTTTCAGAATGTTTCAAGATATTTTGGTATATTTTGACCAATGTTTTGAAAAAATAATTCTTAATTTTTTTATTATTTTGTTTCTGAAACACGTCGAAATGTTTCAATTTCCTAGGTGACCGAAATAATGGACCGAAATAAAATTTTGATCCTTGTTCTTACCAAAACAAAAGTTATTATCTCAAATTAATCTCCTATTAAAACTATATAATAATTTGCTAATCAAACTCTTACTAATATTCCTAGTCAAATAAATATTATCCTTTAATATAATAATATTATAATAAATTCAAATTATTCAATTTAAGTTTATATAATCCATTTTTGATCTCCATCAAAAAAGCATCTGGATCAAGATGCATAATTCAAAGTTTTGTGCTTGAACAAATGGGGTATCTTATGGCTACTATTAGCTGTCCCATTTCTTGTTCGGGAATCTTGTAACATTAATCAAGATTGTGTGTATATGATTATGTTTGGCCTCCAGTTATAGGCTTTGTAAATATGTGTGTATTACAATCAATAGGTTTAATTACATCAATTGATGGTGCCGTATAGTCCATCTCATAAAGTAATAGCTTGAGTCACTGTATGTAGTAACAACTTACTAGGTGGTAAAATGTCTTTATGGTGGTATCCTTTTTATTTTTTGTGCTAAGAGAAGACTTTATTTGATATTGGCTGCATTTGTGTTAATTATGGAATTTAATAGCAGACCCCAAAAATGTTCCCAAGGCTTTGTTGAGGTAAGCAGAGTTGAGTTTAATATGCGTATTTTTTATTTTGTAGCAGTATTAAAAGGAATTTTGTAGCACAGTTTAATTAGATAGTAACTCCATTGACAAACAATGGTTGAGCAATTATTTCAATTCAGTTACTTTGCATATGGATTTTCATTCCTGCACCTACTCTTAGTAGGTGCTTAACCCCATTGATGATTTATACCAGCAAAAGATGGTGAATTGGTCATATTAACTAGTACTAGTATAAATTTAACTTAGTTTCAAGTATGGTGTTGTGCTTACTAAAAGCCTGATTAGTCGGGTCTGCCTTTGAAATTATACAAGGGAAGAAGGGTTCATATATATTTTCCTATGATATTTCTTTTGCTGATTCTGTCATATAAATGATGAGGCAGTTGTCATATCCTTTTGTTTTGTGCTTGAACACATTTTCATACACATATTGTACGGTCAGGTGGCTTTAAGTATCCGGTTGCATTTGATATTTTTCTCCCTATTGATTGTAAGGTGCCACATGAGAGATGACCAGATTGGATTTCCATCAATGAAAATGATATAGACTATAAAGTAAAAAATGAAAAAAATAATTTCTAATTACATATCACAAAACGATTTTCAATCTAATTGAAACAAAGCAATTCTGGCAAGATGATGACACACTGAAAATCCAGAAGAATCCAAACCACAGGTTCTTCCCCTCTATAATACACCACCTGACACTGCATTCATCTCGACAGTGTTGAGCTTTTTAACTTCCTCCAAGGCCCCAAAACTCAATCTCAAACATAGCAATGCCAAAACTTGAGAAATCTAACTCTCTTCTACTATATCAAACAATCCTTTATGTAATGAGAAAAGAACTGGGCAATGAAGAAAGAAATTATCAGTATTTGCCTTACTAGTATTCTCCCTACTCCTTTGACACAGTGCACTGGTGAGGAAGCGAAGAGTGATAAGGTCTCCTCCTTTGAAGCAAGTCATTAGTGTTAAGTTTCTTTGATCAACAATCCAAGATAAAACTTGGACTTTAATAGGTACTTTTGTTGCATTTTATGCTTCTAGTCATTGAGATGATTCTATGGCAGGATATATTGGATAGATGGAGTCTTCCAAAGAGACAGGCTGCCGAGCTCCAGAAGGCCCCATTCTTTGCGTTAACAATTGTGGCTTCTTTGGTAGTGCAGCCACTATGAACATGTGTTCCAAGTGTCACAAGGACATGATCTTGAAGCAGGAACAGGCAAAGCTTGCAGCTTCCTCCATTGAGAATATTGTGAATGGCAGCTCTGGCAGCAATGGGAAGGAGCCTCTGGTTGCTGGTGCCGTGAATATGCAAGCTGGACCTGTGGAGTTGAAGGTTGCTCCTACACAAGCAGCCAGTGATTTATCCTCAAGCCAGAGTTCAGAGGCAAAGGCGAAAGAGGGTCCAAATAGGTGCAGCACTTGCCGCAAGCGTGTGGGTCTAACAGGTTTCAATTGCAGGTGTGGAAATCTCTTCTGTGCAGTTCATCGCTACTCTGACAAGCACGACTGTCCATTTGATTATCAGACTGCGGGTCGGGATGCTATAGCCAAAGCCAATCCCGTCGTTATAGCCGAAAAGCTTGATAAGATCTAGGAGCAATGGAGTGAAGGTTTTTGTACTGAAGTATGATGCTTTCTCCCTGTGTCTCCTTATAAGTTGGTCACTTGTCTTGGTAGGTGCCCTTTAGTCAAAAGAATGGTTTAAGGCACGAGAATGGAGGGCATCTTTGCAAGTCTAATGAACTTGAAAGTCCTCAATTGGTTACTGTTGCTTTGCTTGCTCCAGTGTATAAGTCTTTATTTGTNCTTTAGTCAAAAGAATGGTTTAAGGCACGAGAATGGAGGGCATCTTTGCAAGTCTAATGAACTTGCAAGTCCTCAATTGGTTACTGTTGCTTTGCTTGCTCCAGTGTATAAGTCTTTATTTGTGCTGGCTTGATGGATATCTCTGGTGGAAATTTGTAATTTGTTGTGTTTGGTTGATTTGTATTTATCTGGTTTTATATGTCATAATGGTTTGCAGCATGCCTTTGGTACTAGAATTGTGTGCTTTCATTGGTCTATGTTTTTTTTCCCACCAGAAGGTACATGTTTTGCATAGTACTGAAATCCTGTCGTCAAGATATGATCTGATTGTTTAGGTATGAGCATGTATGGTTTGTTTTCCCTTTTTTGTTCCATACATCAGCTTATGGTTCCCAATAGTGTTCTAATAGTGTTAGTTTATTCCGCCAAGTCTTGCCAGTTGCCACAATGTGGGTAGTAGTTTTCTATCCACCGCTTATTCACATCTATCTGTTCTCTTTTTCTCTACATTTTCTGGCGAAAATATTGATCCGTTTGCCGTGGCATGATTTACATTGATGCTGTAACTTGCCAGTCATTTCCTTATTAGTGGTAGCTTTCTTCTCTGAGATTTGCTTGCACAGTTCCTTTAGAAAAGAAAAAGAAAAGCAAGGGCTGGGAATATAAGTATAATAGGCCAGCAACAGCTACAAGATTGAGTGGTCATTTGGCATGAGACGCGTGGAAAATTGAGTTGCATTTTGGAAGATGCTTTGGAAGTTCAGAATTATTGCTTGCATGTGTGTTCTCTGTTTTTCCACAAAATTCATATGTTTCATGTGTTCATACCTGTTGTTTCTCCGGATATGTTTCCTGGTATGTTGATTGAATATTGTTTCAATGCGTATGTGCCGCAAGTTATGCCTTGTAGTGTTTAGTCGTTGGTAGTGGGCCACACAATGTGTTTTGTGACAATAAGTCCACTATCTCTTCAATAAAAAGTGGAGCTAATAGCTCTAAAGAAAAACACATTGATGTAAATTTTCACTATATCTAAGAGTCAACTATATTCTCTCAGGAAAGATGGTTGTCGACCTTATGACCAAGGAGTTGACTTTGAAAAGTTTGGAGAGAATGTAATTGCAATGAGTTTGAGAATCACCTAGGTGTTGTGATGTTGCAATGTTACATGATGAAGGACATCTTTAGAGAAATTTTGGAGNCACTATATCTAAGAGTCAACTATATTCTCTCAGGAAAGATGGTTGTCGACCTTATGACCAAGGGGTTGACTTTGAAAAGTTTGGAGAGAATGTAATTGCAATGAGTTTGAGAATCACCTAGGTGTTGTGATGTTGCAATGTTACATGATGAAGGACATCTTTAGAGAAATTTTGGAGATGCCTGAAATATATAGAAAGATGCAACTCTACTTGATTAGAAATAAGAATTGGTCGGATAAAATGTAGAAGAAACTAGCAAGCATACTAAGGTTATCACGCACTCATGAGTGTGTAGTCTACTTTGAGGTAACATGAAATCTCTACATAGTCATCCAGGTGCGGGCGTATTAAGTCATCGATAAGGTGTATTAAGAAAAGTCTCTTGATACAGAAAGGGAAGGAAAAGAGAATTCTCACAAGAAATACATTTATTTATCCTATTAGGTCAAGAAATACAAATCTCTGCGGACAATTTTTAAATTAATATTCAACTCTGATTAAAATAATATGGNACTCATGAGTGTGTAGTCTACTTTGAGGTAACATGAAATCTCTGCATAGTCATCCAGGTGCGGGCGTATTAAGTCATCGATAAGGTGTATTAAGAAAAGCCTCTTGATACAGAAAGGGAAGGAAAAGAGAATTCTCACAGGAAATACATTTATTTATCCTATTAGGTCAAGAAACACAAATCTCTGCGGACAATTTTTAAATTAATATTCAACTCTGATTAAAATAATATGGAATCCATCTATATAATAAGGGAGCTAGTCCTTGTATATAGACCGAGTATCTTACCGTAAATGAACTACTTCCCTAAAAATTCTATCTAACTAAAAATTCAAATAATAAATATTAAAAATAGGATAAGTAAAGAGCAATGTTACGCAAATTTAAAAACTTAACTTGATAATAGAAGTGTTATATTTGTCATTGATTTAACTGCGAGTCCCAATATTTATTGGGACCCATTACTAATTCAATAATATTTATTCATCAAGTCAAGTTTTTAAATTTATTGAGCATTTCCGTAAGTAAATCCAATCAGATGCCTCAAAGTCCTTTCACTTGTACCTACCAAGAGGTGAATATTACATCCTCAATNTCACAAATTTAAAAACTTGACTTGATAATAGAAGTGTTATATTTGTCATTGATTTAACTGTGAATCCCAATATTTATTGGGGCCCATTACTAATTCAATAATATTTATTTATCAAGTCAAGTTTTTAAATTTATTGAGCATTTTCCGTAAGTAAATCCAATCAGATGCCTCAAAGTCCTTTCACTTGTACCTACCAAGAGGTGAATATTACATCCTCAATCTACAGGAACTCAGATTGGATGGCTAGGCTGTAGAACTTTCTTGTGTAATCCTCAATATACATATTTCCTTGATTCAACTGCTTGAAATATAGATGAACTCGTTGCCTATAATTAGCAGGCACAAAGTCTACTACAAACTTCCTACATCTCAAACAAGACCTCAAACACAACTACCTCATTGACATTCTCAACCTCTCGATCCATTTCTGAAAAATGATAAATAGGAATGAGCTTGATAACCCAATAAGATAAATTTTCTCAAACATTAACAAAGTTTTGAAAACATAACACAATATATGCGAGAGGTNGGATGAGAATAGTCAAGCTCCGTGTTGATACTCCTCATTGACATTCTCAACCTCTCGATCCATTTCTGAAAAATGATAAATAGGAATGAGCTTGATAACCCAATAAGATAAATTTTCTCAAACATTAACAAAGTTTTGAAAACATAACACAATATATGCGAGAGGTAATTTAACATAATTACATGAGTACGTAAATAGTAATTCCATCGTATGCATTACAAAACATGACATGCATGGCATAGTTTAGTAAATTAGTTAAAATGCAACAAAACATATAAATCGATTTGAAGGCCCTAGCATGCCACAAATGTCAACATAACAAACCAGATATCACCTAGTCCATTCATGAACTGTAACACACCCTAGCATAACTTTAGGGTCTCTCACCCTTGGGACACTTTGCCCTATTTTTTTTTGGGAAAATTAGTACTAGGCATCCACCACCACACAGGTAACTGCAATCCTCTGGCACCCCTCACTGATCTCCCAAGGATTTATAGGCACACCATCCACAAAACCTATAGCGTCAATTATTAGAAAAGCGTATAATATGCATCCACAGTACCACACAAACAACTACCACCCTCTACTATCATTCACTNGAACTGTAACACACCCTAGCATAACTTTAGGGTCTCTCACCCTAGGGACACTTTGCCCTGTTTTTTTTTTTGGGAAAATTAGTACTAGGCATCCACCACCGCACAGGTAACTGCAATCCTCTGGCACCCCTCACTGATCTCCCAAGGCACACCATCCACAAAACCTATAGCGTCAATTATTAGAAAAGCGTATAATATGCATCCACAGTACCACACAAACAACTACCACCCTCTACNAGGCACACCATCCACAAAACCTATAGCGTCAATTATTAGAAAAGCGTATAATATGCATCCACAGTACCACACAAACAACTACCACCCTCTACTATCATTCACTAATTTTTCCAATATCAATACTGTGCATCTATGCTACTAGATCAGGCCAAAATAATATCTCATAATAATATCATCACACTGGGTCAAAATAAATATCCAACAACATTTCATAAACCGTAACATTATTTTTACTAAACTTACGTCCTTAACATGGTAATATACTAAATATAGCATATGACATCTTCATTGATAGCTGCTAAAAATATCCAAATCACGAAAATCCTCCCTAGTTCGATCAAGGGGTTGTCAAAATTCACACTTAGAACTCAAAAATACAACCCTTGGATGACTATGTCATCCTCAAATGAGGTGCGTAATCGATTGAGTGATACACTAATGAGTATTTGATGAGTACATAGGGAAATATCTTTTTGATTGCAATGATAATGAAATTATCATGCAATACTTTTAAGTATGAAACGTTTGTCAAGACCTTTCGTAATTTTTTGTTCGTTACGCTGTGTATATGGAGTGTTAACCTTTTGCATTTAATAAATTTTTTTAATATCAAAGATGATGTAAATAAATATAAATGTATGATCTTATTTTTATTGATTGGGATAAGAATTGACTTGTTAAAGTGCCCACCTAAACATTACTTTCTGGCTCCGACCCTGTGCCAGAGTGATATAACCTCTACACCCAATCTTATCAACAAAAGTTGCTAATAAAGCAAGTTTTGCCATATTTTCAGACAAACTTGACACTCATTCGTGGCAAGCCAGTGTCAATAAACTAGAACATCCAAAGCAGCCCAGTTGCAGTAATTTTGAACATCACACAAAATAAGTGGCATGAATGCCTCTCTGTCCTGCCGGCAATTTCTTTTCAGAGTCATGCTACTTGAAAAAAATTTATGACCAAATTTGCTAACCAAATCTAATGTTATCGGTGGATCTGCAATGACAATGTGAAGTCAGCATGAGATATACAGCATATTAGATTAAGCATCAGTAGAAGTTGATCTGTCTTGCACCACCTAGCAAAAGCCACGCTATGAAACCATAATCAGAGTTTTAAGTCAAAATGGTTAGAATTTGAAATAGAGTAGTTAAATACAGGAGGAATATTTCAACTAGTACTTGAGATCAATGTGACCTTGTTTTCAAGGTTTCGGGCACTCTGGCTATCTCACCTCATACTAGCCAATAGAGTTTCGATTAGAATAGAACTTCTTATGAGATCATTCCTTTGGTCTAGATGTGATCTTAAAACTACTAGTCCAAAGT